AATTATTAAAAGAATCACTTCTCTGTTTCTTTTGCCAAATAGCAATTTTACCACTGTATTCAGGGAACTATACAGGCTCCCTCTGCTAGCACTTTTATCATAAATATATTTAGGTTTTTTTCCTTCTCTGTATGCTCCTTGAAGCCACATTACATTGGCTTTATCCCAGCAAATTACTATATTTTTCATCATGTACACTTAATAATGGATATAATTCATGAAATTAAAACAAAGTTAAAAATGGCGTTGATACAAGAAGTCAGGCTTTGGGAGCCTATTCTGCCTTCCATTCTGTTCACAGGACTCTGCTGTCCATTACTTTGGTTTTGCCCTAGTGTAATAAGCAGAACACAGACCAATAAGTCTAAATTAAGAATAATATTCCTATTGTATGCTCATTTATACTTTCATGCAGTCATTCTCAGTGTTAAGTAATCCACTTAATTAGCAATTCAACTACTTTATTACATGTAGGGGAAGAGGGATTACATTGGAACAGTTAATCAAGACAGACTATTATTTACCAATAAAATAGAATTCCATTAGAGGAACCCAAAGCATCCTTGTCTGAAAGGATTGGAGAATGACAGGAAACCAGTTTTATGAGATAGGTGTCACACAGACTGCTATTTCAGGAGAAAAGAAGAAAAATAACTTTTTAAAAATGCATAGAAGTTGTATTTAAGGGTAATAGGACAATGCAAAGGAGTGAACATGTTTAAATAATCTTTATTGATTTCTCCATTAAAATAAAATAGAAGTCAGACTTCTTGTGATTACTAGTTAATTTATTTCTCCAATCTGCATTCAAATTGATTTGTTAATGTAACATTGTTCCTGAGCCTGCTATTAAGCTGACCGGTTTAACATTGTAAAGCTGCTTACATCTTGTCCATGAAGCACTGAATTTGAGGGGTCTCAGCCACCATATTAGTTAGGCCTACAGAAAACCAAGCAATTCTGCAGGAAAAAAAAAAAAACAAAACCAGATTCTGCAAACGTGAGAAAAACAAGCAGGTTTCACTCAGTGTCTTCAAGCTTCAAGTTTCCCCTATCACAACTACAAAGATCGCATTAGTCAGGGTGACTTGAGAATCAAGTCATGGCCCAGCAAATTGTTGCAATTAAGGAAATCAACATATACTAAGCACTGGTAGTAGATGAAAATGGGCATAGCACAACCAAGACCTTTTCTTTCAAATATTCACCCTCAAGGCAAAATCCCCGAGTACAATTCAGCTACAGGAGAATGTTGTCTGGATTATGGCACTCTACAATTTAGCTCTTGCTCTACTACTAGAACTATAATCTATCTGGTTAATCTTTGCAGCTTCCACCCTTGATCTCTGCTATTCATATTACCTCACAGCTACATGTTGTGGCACTTGTAATAGTCTGAGAAATACATTGCAATCCTTAGTGCCAGGGTATAAAATAGGGAGTCTCCTTTCTGCTTTCCAAATGTTCAGTCTGACTGCTGCCAATTTATAACATTTAAGAAACACTGAGAAGCTTGCTGGTTTTCCTGCATTGAAGAATCTGAAATATTTAATGGAATGCTGAACCATTTACTAACACAGTCTGGCAGGTTACAGTGAATGTAAAGTTGACAATGTAGAAGTTTACTTCTCGCTTTGTGAATTGTCCAGGCTCCTGTAGTTTAAAATGGACAATTTAATAGACCAAGGGAAAAAGCCCTTCAGGATAAAGTGACAGAGAATATTTACCTCCTCCTCAGTATTTGAAAAGTTTCCATAATCAGCTAAGGATTCTCCACACGGCATTGAGTTGTAGCGTTCAGTGACGTCCTAACATATAAACAGATGCTCATTTCCGGTTTTATAGATTTCAAAGTTCACTGGTTTCAAGACAGGCTGCTTTAAAAGCCTCTGCAGCTGAAGGTCTTCAAGGCAGCCAGAAGCAACAGAACTTCTGGGTACATAAGGAATCCTTGAAACCACACATTGTAGATAGATAATTTGTTGCCGTGTTCTTTACAGTTTCCCTTGACAAATATTGCTGTTCTTTGTCTAAACTTAGTGGTCTGTATCCCCATTCCCCCCTCAAGCATTCAACAGGTATGTACGCTTCACAGAACATAGATTGGACAATCTTTTAAACAAGAACAACGGTAATGTTTTCCATCTTGGTTTAGGTAAAAGAAATCACAATGCTGAAGATAGACAGAAATAAGTAACACAGTTACTCTGTCACATATTGCAGGAGGCCCACAATCTGTGTCTCTCTCTGCTAAGTCCTTGAATTCTAAGGACATATCATGCAGAAACTATATGTCATAGTTGGATACTGTAATTACAACTGACACTTACTTTTACCAGCCAGTATTGTTGGCATGTCTACCCAAGGGTGTGTGGAAAATTAGGAAAACTGTAATAAAAAAATAAAATACATGGAAATTGTATCAAAACATTGATAGATCAATGCCAAAAAAGCTCACCATTCTTTAAATACTCTCAATAAAGAGTTAAAGAATATTGGGGGGGGTGATCTTTAGAAACTAAAGATGTCTTTTTACATTAATGTTCACATGAAAGTTTCTTACATTAAATGTTTTTACATTAACTCTAAATTGTTACTTCTTTTTGGCCACATGATGAGAGTCTTCTGTATCCATCACTGCAGTGAGGGGACCTGGTAGTCTGGGTGCAGACGCCATCTGAAACAAAAGCTAACAGTTAACAACAGTCCTGGTTGAAAGGGTTAGCCCAGCAGCCCCATGGCAGCTTGCTGTGCCTGGAGGGAGGAGGGAGTCCAATCTGCAAAGTTGCTCTGTCCTTCAGCTGCTGACTTAGCATGTTGTCATATGAGCCTGAGAGCACAGCTAATGGTGCCCACAAAGGGAAAACGGGGGCCAAGGTTACTCTGCAGCATTGTCTTGGGACATTACGCAGTTTGGGGACAGTCCTGCTAGGCTCCTCTTAGCTTAGGTTTGATGGGAGCATATAAAGAGACACAAGTAGCTGCCCCTAGGAAACCTCTATTGAGACAATAGTTTTAAATCCTTCTCCTGTTGATCACACAAGGAATCACTTGCACGAGATGCTCATGCATCAAGTCCATATGTGCACAAGTTATTCCTTAATTTAGCCACTCAAAGTAGATAGATTCATTCATATATGTTCAGACCAGAAAGGACAATTTAGTTATAAGGACTCCCTGAGAACTGCACTAAGTGACTCCAGCCGAGCTAATGAGCATGTTTTAGGAAGTCACCCAACAGGTGGGAGCAGAAGCATAGAGCAGGGCTGGTGGTAGATGATAAATGGTAACCACAAACCTGCCCAGAGCACTTTGCAGAAGAAACGGGGCAACTGATGATAGGGCAGGGACTTTCAGCATGAACCAACACCCAGGGCTACTATCATGTGCCTGAATCACAAGCTGAGTAGGGCAAGCCCTGTAATCCCCCAAATTATGTGGGTACACTGCTCCTGCTAATCAATTAAGCTATAAACATAGCAAGTTATAATGGAGGTACTAGTATTTGCATATCAAGATACCCAGCAAGCCAAAGCCAGAAGTGAAAAAGTCATTTAACACTTGATGCTCTGCCACAGAAGTCAGCTGGAGCTCCAGAACATCCTGTGAGTCTTGAGAACATTAATACAAACCCAGTGGTCACAATTCTCTGCTGGGGGGTTGCACAAAGGCTAACAAAGCTGCCAGTGTGGCTTTCTCTCAGCCCAAAGCCTTTGGGCCATGGCTGAGACTGGCTGAACCTCTCCACTGCCAGAGCTATGAGTGGGCTCTGCAACCTTCCAACAGCAGCACCTTCTCCTGAACCACACACAACCAAACGCCTCTTCCTTTTGGGTACTCCACCTCCTTCCTTCTCTAAAACTAACAGGGCCAGAAATAAGCCACATTTCTCCATCCTCATTTTCCTAGTTTTCTTTCGACAGCTTACATTTCTTTTCCATGCTGCAGACCTTCTACCCCTCATTTTACTCTCCTTCTCTCTTCTGCTTCCCTCCCTTTCCCCCGCCCCCTGCTTTCTCTCCCTCTGCACTTTGTGAACTGCTGCTGCAGTGCTGAAGTCCAAAGTTCAGTAACTTGCTAAGCACACAGATAAATATGAACCTTGGAGAATTTACATTGCTCCAATGTAAACAGATAGCCAAGGGTCCCTTTATCAGCACTGGCTCAGGACAGTCGTGGGGGGTCTGAAGTGGCTCAATTTTGTATTTTGTTTTTTTTTGGGGGGGCGTAAAGGCGGGAGGCTGTGCTGTGCCCACTCTCCTGACAATCGGGCGTGTTACCTCAGGAACATGATGTAGGGAAGCTGGAAGCAGGATAACCTGAAATTCAAATCCAAGAGACACTAGCCTGAAGACCATGGTCTCGAAGCTGAGTCATCTTCAAGTGGAGCTGCTGGAAGCACTGCTGGAGTCGGGGCTAACCAAGGAGACCCTGATCAAGGCACTGGGCGAAGTGGAACCCTACGTGCTCCAGAGTGAAAGTCAGCGCGCTATCAATGCCCTCCAGACAGAGAAAGGGGAACCCTGTCCCGACATCCCCAACCTCCCCAATGGAATGGGGGAGTCCAGGTTATCAGAAGATGAAACCTCGGATGATGGGGAGGAATTTACCCCTCCAATAATGAAGGAGCTGGAAAACTTGAGCCCTGAGGAGGCTGCTCACCAGAAGGCTGTGGTGGAAAGACTATTACAGTAAGGACAGATTTGCTGCTTCTCTTTGCTGCTTTCTCGCACTCCATCTAAATCTCTTTTCCTTTCCCCTTCCACACTCTGTCCCTGGTATTCACAGTTGATCTAGCTGCACAGAGACAGTCTTCATCCATGCTAGGGCTAGCAGCCTCCTAAAACACTCTCCACATTCTTTATAAATGCTCAAACCTTCCTTTTCATCTCACTTAAAATGCATGAAGGGAGCCATGGAGCCTGATTACATATTTGAAGTGCTTATAACATCAGGCTTCAGAATAGTCCGAGGCCTGTATAACTTGCATCTCTCCGAATGTTAGTTTTTAGGATTTAAATTTTTAATAGTATTCACAATTTCAGTCATCAGGAAATAAAAAAAGAAAAAAATCTGGTCACTGTTAACTGGTGCTATATTTGCCTGAGGTTGTACAGCAAAATGAAGTTGTAATGTTTCCATGCTATATTTGAGGAGATTAATATTGTTAATTTCACTGTGTTTTGCTATAGATTATTGGTCAAAGACAAATCAAGAGAACTCGTTCTCGTCATTCTTGCGAGTGCAAAGTTCTCCTGACTTCAGTGGGGATTTTTCTTGTAGAAAGAGCACACACCAAATAGATGCAGCGGTTAAAACCTGGGCAGAACACTCTGCTTTTACCATTCACTGCCTGTCACAATTACAAAGTACCTATGCAGCAACAATTACAGGTTTTACTGCCGCACAAATTTGCCTTTGCATAACAGCATTTTTGAGATCAAAAGACAGGCAAAGTTCCCTGAACAGTAAACCTCATCATATACTCAGAGAAACACATTCACCAGTATTCCCATTTGTGATTCTTGCAGGGATACAATTCCTGTGGGCAGCCCAAGAGGTTTGTCCAAGAAAGGATCGGGTCCATCCAACCTATCACACCAGAACCAGATTTTTGCCCGTTCATTTTGGGGCGTATTTTGAAAGGACAAGCGGATAGAAGACAAAAAGGTGCAGCAACATCCCGCACTTAAAATCTTCACTAAAACTAAAATCCATCCAAAGAATTTCTCAGGCTTTCTGATCATTCCCCTTCATGTGCAAAGGAAATTAACGTAAAATGTAACAACAAGAAGCAAACATCAAATCCCACCACAAAAGGCCAGAGCTAGAAAAACAGAGTGACAAGAGTTGGCTCCCTGGCAGATTGGGAGCTGGTGAGACTGCAGTATCCAACAGAGGAAAATTCACTGGATCACTCTTACCTGCGTGGGGAAAGCATTCCAAATAATTCAGTCTTCTTTCTGGCCCAGTATGCGTGTGTCTCATTTCTTCCCCACTTCCAGCTCTGCCACATTTTTAGTATCCTCTGTGCGTTCCCTTTACCTCTTTCCCATTCTTTTTAGACATTTCCCTTCCTTCCTCACTTTTGTCTCTGCTGCTATTCCTCCCATTTTGTTGTCTTCTTGGCTAATTCTCTCTCTCCTTTCCACTTTTTCTTCCCCTCATCCTTGTCTCCTTCTCATCTTCCTGAGTCTGCGTACAGGTCTTGGGGTAGTTTGAGCCCAGTGGCACCGGGCGGGCCCTGGCTAGTTACTAATTATCCAATGGCTTTATTATTTCTCTTTTGTCTTATAAATTTATAGACGAAAAGACCCTGATAAGCTTTTTGATCATTAACTTCTGATGGTTTATCAGGCATCTCTCCACAAAGGAAGCCATGGAAGTTGAGGAAGAGCACCTGGCTTTGTCCCACTTTCTGTAATGAATGGGTGAAGCGGGACTGAGGTGCCATCCCCTGTGATCTAAGAACAGACACGCGGATGGAGGGAATTCCTTCCTGCCACCCTCACTTCAGCATGAATTCTGGTTTCCGATCCTCCCTGCCTTTCTAGGAGCTTGCTCCCAGTCTTTTCTGTGCTTATGACCAGCCTCAGCACAACAGTCTTACCTCTCTTGCAAACCTGTGATATTAATGCTTTCTGATGAACGGTCTCACATCTCTCTCTAGACAGTTGAGCAGCATTCCCATTTAACAAATGGGAACTGAGGTAGACAGAGACTCTGTGACCTACCTAAAACCCTAAGATAGCACAGAGAGGGCTGGGCAAGAACAAGGATCTCCTAAGCCTCATACTGGGTCTTAATTGCAAAGCTTTACTCTGAAACATCAGAGTTTTCTTTCATCAGTACCCCGTATCACAGGATAGAGCAATTCACTTCTGCTGTTGTGGACAGTATGAGGGGACCAGAAGCCTCAGTTTCAGCAAAAAAAATACAAGTATACTAATGGAATAATATAATACATCAAAATTAGTCAAGGTAAAATGAAGACAGTAGGAAGTCTGTATTGAAATGCTTCCAATTTCTGGTCAAGGATTAAAAAAAAAAAAAAAAAAAAGCACCTGTATATCTGAGAACCTATTCAAAGCATCTAAACCAGTATCAGGGTTTGATAATATGTAAGCAGTTGTTACCTACTAATAAACTTTTTTTCTGTTTTTAAGAACAAACCTTTCCATTAATAGATGCCTAAAGGTAATGTCCTTAAAATAGTATTATAAATATTGTAAGACAAGCCAGAACAGTCTATAATAGAAATTACTCTGAGCAATAGATAAAAAGGAAAATGGGCAAGAATCTCCATGCCTAGGGAGTCCCAGTAAAACTTCAATGCTTGCAAAGGTATTTCAGCATCTATACAAGGATTTCAAGTCCAGAAGCCAGATGGAGGTACTTTTGCCTTTAGACAGAAGCCTCTTTGGGCATTATTAACAATTCCTGGTCTAATACTGTAGACCACATTTTAACAGAGCGATTGACTTGTGGGCAGCTATTAGTGATACAAGAAAGTCTTTGTGGTAACTGCAGCCATTGCTTATAAAGTAGAACCAGGAAAGTGTCCATTGCTAGGCTTTCCAGGAGCTGGAAAGGAAAAAATGACAGCACCAGGTGACCAAGTGTGTCCTCACAGGAGCACTAACATTGAAACCACAGTTTTGAAAGCACTAGTCAAAGCCAAGTAAAACAGGATGTATAAAAGATACACCCACACAACTGGGTGCACCTGTGGGTATTAATTTTGTCCGTACAGAAGAAAAAAAAAGCTAGAGGCAGTTTGGACAAAGGTTTCTCTAGCAAGGAATTAACATAATTTCATTTTGTCCCTTAATCTGTCTCACTGATCTTCCATAGATTTACAGTTTGAATAAAAACATTCTTTCCATATCACTCCACACAGAAAACAAATTGCATCTATGATAAAGAATAAATAACTCAGTAGGGAGATAGAGCTGTGTGGAATAATTCCCAGATATTCCCCAAAGTAGGAAGCAAAAGAGAGACTACTTTGGGGGAAGGGACAGATCATACTACCGCAGGTACAGCAAATGGAGAGAGGTATAGCACCAATTCACCTGTAGGGCAAGGGGTGAAATTCCATTAGGAAAGAGAGAAATTGAGATAAGCAGCAGATTTCCCCTGGAGGCAGGGATAAAAGCATGTTTTCCATGAGGAAAAAAGAAAACAAAGATATAATGATAAAGGTTCAGACTTTTCCCCAAGTAAGCAGTGTCTCAGCATGGCTCTAGCTGGGGAATTTGGAGATGAAGCTGCCACACCCCTTTCATTTCCACATATAAACCAAGATGAGGCAAACCAGGCCAAGTTCAATAGAAATGAACCCTGCCAGGATGGTCTTACCTTCCCTGCTCTCTGCCTAGCCCGGCTCCAGGCTGTGCACTGCCATCAGTGAGGGTTGTCTAGCAGGCTCCAGAGGAAAGGGCCAGAGGATGGTCCCGAGTACT